TGCTCAGCATACAGAATGACTAAATATGATGAAAGACTACAATCCTGGTGCACACCTTCCCTCATTTTAAACCATCCAGTGTTCCCTTGTTCTTTGGGAACAGCTGCCATTTGGTCCATGTGCTGGATCCTCTGGAGCACAATGAATGAAGTGTTCCAGAATATTCATTCTCTGCAATGTTGCTCATAGCTTGTCATGATCCACACAATTGAAAGACTTTGCATAGTCAGTAAAGCACAGGTAAACATCTTTCTGATGTTCTCTGCTTTTAGCCAAGATTTGTTGCTTTCGAATCAGCTTCAACTCATAGCAAAGCAGTAGAATGCAGTACTTCCTGGCCCTGCCCTTCCTCATGAAGGCTGGCTGACATTGCCATGTATTTCTAGTGTCTTCCAACCCAGGAACTCATCTTCCAACAATCTATCAGACAGTTTCTGCTGTGATCCAGAGTTTTCACTGGCTAATTTTCAGAAGTCCGTTGCCAGTTCCTAGTCTCTCTTAGTCTGGGAGCTCCACGAATACCTGCTCACCATGGGTGATTCTGCTGGTATTTGAGATTTCAGTGGCATCATTTCCAGGATCACAGCATCATGCAAGTCACCATAGTCCAAATGCACTGGCATAAATGCCATGGAGGACTGAAGAAGATTGAGAAAGGGAGAGATGATGACCGAACGGTTTTCCATGAGGTAGACAGAGATAGTAACTGAAATTGAAGGAGTGAAGCATCATCAGGTTTGGGGGAAAGAAAGTTCTAAGAAATGTGTGCACTGGCAAAGGCCTTGAGGCAGGACCAGGCCTAGTGAGATAGGAGACGAATGAGGAGGCCTGTGTGGTTGCCAAAGAGAACCAAGATGAGAGGAGCAGACAGGAGGGGCGTGGTGAGGAGGACTCTGCTTTAATTTGGGGACATGTCTGCAGAGTTTTACAAGGATGGCATGATGTTATATGACATAAGGCTCACGTCACACTTGGCCCAAATACGTCAGTGCATTCTGAAGTATTATGAAGTGTCTGAACAAATCAAGTGGATAAATGTGTTTATTTTTCTTTTCTGGTAACTGTTGATATAAACACAATTATTGTTACTGTTGAGTTAATTCCCACTCACAGAGACTTCGTGTGTGTGTCAGAGCAGAACTGCTCCCCAGAAGCAGATCCCCAGTCTTCCAATGTGCCTCTGAGTGGATTCGAGTGGCCAACCTTTCAGCTAGTACTTGAACAATTAACTGTACCATCCAGGGACTCCTACAATTATTCCCATTTTTATGAAATGTGATGTAATTTGAAACTGCCTAGGACAGTGCCTGGTCCCTCAGAAATAGCAAAATTCGTCCCCTTTTTTGCTGCTGATATTGTTGTTGTTATTATTAGGAGCCCCAGGGGAGGCGATGGTTTAGCACTCAGCTGCTCACTGAAAGGGTGGGGAAAAAACAGGTGTTCCTATAAAAATGACAGTTTAGGAAATCCTATGGGGCAATTCTATTCTGTTTCATTGGGCTGCTGTGAGTGGGAACCAACTCTACAGCATATAACAGCAACAATTTATATACTTAGAAGCCCCCAGGACAGAGTCCTGCATCTAGTAAATATTATCAAAATGTCCCTTCTTGTGGCTGATATTAAAATAATTAAAGTCAGTTATATATTCAAAAGAGCCAAGGACAGTCTGTAACCTCATAAGCTTCTTATCCAACAGTGAACTATTTTTTTATGTTTTTCCAGTTGTTGTTAGTGGCAGCCTGTCCCTGAGGCTCATTACCTTCCTGGTCTCAGTTTCTCCGTCTGGATTCCAGGAGGATGCTGCGGGGCCAGGCTGCACGACGTGCGGCGGCCGCCAGGGGTCGCTGCGGCGCCGCCCTTTTGTGGTCCTGATGCTGGCGGGCGGGCGCAGGCGGAGCAGGGAGGAGGCGCGGGGAGCGCGGCGGGCGGGAGGGAGGGA